TCCTCCTCCTCCTCCTCCTCCTCCTCCTCCTCCTCCAGGTGCCCGCCATCTCCCTCGCCTACGAGGCAGCTGAAAGCGACATCATGAAAAGGCAACCGAGGAACCCGAAGACGGACAAGCTGGTGAACCAGCGCCTCATCAGCATGGCCTACGGGCAGATTGGTGAGCCAGGCCACTTGGGCCGGGGGCACCCGTGGCCTCAAGGGGGTGCTTCGCCAAGGAGCTAAGGGAACCCCCCCCCCCGTGTGTCTTCCCAGGCATGATCCAGGCCCTGGGCGGCTTCTTCACCTACTTCGTCATCCTGGCTGAGAATGGCTTCCTGCCCACCACTTTGCTGGGCATCCGCCTGGAATGGGACGACCGTTCCAAAAACGACCTGGAGGACAGCTACGGCCAGGAGTGGGTGAGTCGGAAGGGCTCCGCGCTTGGCTGCTGCCTTGCTGTAGTGTAAGGGACCTCTGCCTGCCGGAACACTTTGGTGGGCCTCAGCTGGAGGCAGACAAGGGGACCTTTGTGGGGAGGGGTCTGCCTCTCCAGGCGTCCCCACTGGGAGGTGTGTATTCCCTCCCGGCAGACATACGAGCAGCGGAAGGTGGTGGAGTTCACCTGCCACACGGCCTTCTTCGCCAGCATCGTGGTGGTGCAGTGGGCCGACCTGATCATCTGCAAGACGCGCCGGAACTCCGTCTTCCAGCAGGGCATGAAGTGAGCTGGGCGCCTTCCACAGATGAGGCAGGCCAGATGGCCTTTGGGGAGCCCTCCTTCCTCCTTGGTTGGTGGGAGCCCCCGTCCGGGCCTCAAGGCCATCAGAACAGCCCTTTCCCAGAACCCGTGTCCAAAGGTAGACTGCCTCTGCCCACGGAGGCTCCGCCATCGTGCCCCATGAATGAGCGCCCAGAGAGGCCGCCTGCTGCCCGCAGCTCCTGCCACCTCTGAGCCTCCGTCTCTCGCTCTCTCCCAGGAACAAGATCCTGATCTTCGGCCTCCTGGAGGAAACCGCTCTGGCTGCCTTCCTGTCGTACTGCCCGGGGATGGGGGTGGCCCTCCGGATGTACCCCCTCAAGTAAGTGGGGCCGCTCCTCCTCCCCCTCCTGTCTCCAGCCCCCTGCGCCCCACTGGCGGCCCCTCTGAGCCAGCTCTCTCTCTCTGTCTTGCAGGGTCACCTGGTGGTTCTGCGCCTTCCCCTACAGCCTCCTCATCTTCATCTACGACGAGGTCCGGAAGCTGCTCCTGCGGCGCTACCCCGGGGGTGAGTGTGCCCCCCACCTTCTCTATGCAGTGGGAGGACCGGATTGGCCCCTTTTGTGCTGGCTCACCTGTCCAGCCCCCTCCCCTCTCCCACGGCACCTGGCCTTCCAGGTGATGCTTCCACCCTCCTTGCTGAACCATGGGCTTTGGAGTCCTGCCTTGAGAGCAGCCTGCGGGGGGTGGGGGGTGGCAGACTGCCCGCTTGCAGCTCTCTCTCGCCCCACCCAATCTCTCTCCCTTTCCCTCTCTCTCTCTCTCTCACACACACACACACAGACACAACCTCCAGCTGTTGACCTCTGGCTGTTTTCCTTCCTTTCCAGGCTGGGTGGAGAAGGAGAGCTACTACTAAGCCCCAGAGAAGAGCCGGGCAGCCCCTTGGATCCAGCCCCTCACAGCCTGTAGCCCAATTAGTAGCTGAAAGATGCAATAAATGCAATCCCGCCATTCCCCTCCCCCCAAGGCTGCTTCATTCAGAAAGAACACTCGGGGTCTGGAAATGGGGGTCCAAGGAAAGAGGGCGCGGGGGGGGGGGGGGCAACTGAATGTTTGGACCAGGGAAGTGACTGTGGAGCTGGCCGCCCCTTGGACCACCCGTCTTCTTCAGCCCCCTCCTGGCCTGGGCGGGCAGGGGGCATCCGAGCCTTCTCTGCCTCCAGACGGAAGAGGTTTTCCTCGCTTCCTTTCAAGGATGTTGGCCTAAGACGTCAGAAAAGGAGGAGAGGCAGCTCGTCCATTATTTGGGGAGGGGGGAGGGGGTGTTACTGCACCGACCGCCTGGGGCCCGGAGGGGCCCAATTCCCTGGATGGGCTGCTGAGGGGCCCAGCTTGACCAAAGCAGAAGAGGCCCCTCCCCTTTGCTGACCCCCGCAGGAGGGGCTTCCCCCCAGAGTGGAGCTTATGGACAGATCCTCACCACCCCAGGTGTCCTGGGGCCCAGGTGCCTCTGGGAAAGAACAGCCAGGCAGCGGATTACAGGGAAGCTGGTGGGTCAGCAGAAAGGGCCAAAATAGCCCCAGCTGACTTCAGCCCCAGCAGCTCCTGGCACCAATTCAGGCACAGATTAAAATAACAGCAGCTGCTGGACGGCCGGACTGGGCTAAAAATAGCTGCCAGGACATAGCTTGCCTTAAAGACAGCCGAAAGCCCAGCCTTGCACCTGGCGGATCCCTCCTCCCCCAATCTTTAGAGGGGCAGTGCCCCAACTTGGGGGAGGGGAGTTGCTTGGGGAGGGTCCCAGACTTCCCGCAGCCTTGGGTGGTGTGATGGGAACTGGGAAGACTGGAAAGCATCGCCTCCCCATTGAAGGTCAACGTGCATTGAGGGATGAGCCCCCACCTTCCCCTTTAGCCAGAGGAAACGGCACGGGAGGGGTCTTGGGGCCTCTGGGGGTCCAGAGAGACGCCTGCCTTGTGCACCCAGGTGAAGGCTCCAAAAGGGAGGCCAGAGGAGGGCTGGCCTTGGGGGGCTTGGAGGGGGGGGCGGGACGGGGTCCAGGGCTGTCCAGCAAAGAGGCAGGGAATTTGGGCAGCCCCTCAACCGCAGGGTTGGACAGGGAGGGAGCAGGGGGTCTCCCAGCCCCCGAGTGCTGCGGAGAGACTGGCCCACTGTTGTTCTGCCTCTCCTGGGACAAAATGCCCCCCCCCCCTTCATGGCACAAGGAGAAGGATGTGCCTGCATCCGGCTGGCAATGTGGAGCGGAGACTTTAGGTCACCTCGACGCTCCTGTCATCTTCCCGGGAACAGCGGGCGAAGGAGGCCCTAAATCACAGGGGACAGCCGCCTGTTTGTACACACAGCCAGGCCCAAGCGGAAGGGCTCACCTGCGAGGCAGGACACCTGGGACCAAGGCCAGCTGGGGCTGAGGCTCCACCCCACCTTAGGCCAAGGCGGACCAAGAGCCAGCAACCCCGTCGTCCTCGAAGAGACTCGCCCTTGGCCCAAGAAATGCCAGCTGGGGGGTCACCCCATCTGGGAGCCCAGCTGTGTTCCCCAAACCTCCAGAAGAAGGCCTGCTCCTGCCCCACAGCCCCCTCCCCCTGCGGGGAAGGGCCTCTCCTGGAAGAGCTGAACGTGTGTGCGTGTGTGTGTGTGTGTGTGTGTGTGCAGGACCGAAGCAGCAGCCGGATGGAGGGGGGTTGGGTTTTCCTCCCTCACCCCGGGGGGGGGCGGGGTGTTTCAATGTCCACCCAGGGTTAAAAACAAGGAGGTCCGAACTGCAGGTCACTGGGAAACAGCTGCTCTTGGGGGCACGAAGGAGACATCAATTGGGGGGGGGGGCATGGAGGGGGAAAGGATGCTCTATTCCCCCCCCTCCCTTCCAAAGAAGCTGTTTTTGCTCTTGAACTGGGGAGGCGGCCACTCCACGTGGCCTCCTTTCCTCTCCCTTGAGTTCAGTGGGGCTGGAGAGCCTCAGGTGAGCTGCTGAGGCCTTTGCCACGCTGAGCCTGCCAGGGTACTCTGAGGCCAACCAGGATGCCACCCTCCAGCCTTAGCCAGGATAGCCAGGCTGGGTGGGGCACCCTGGGCCTCTGAGCCACCTGTCTGTGACAACCCCCCCAAAAAATTAAACCCAAGCACCGAATCTGAGATCCCCTCCCCCATCCAATGTGCGTTCTCCCTGCATCCCTCAGACAAGGAGGCGCCCGACGCCCAGCTGCGCTTTTCCCCTGGAAAGGGGCCGTTTCTTTGGCCTCGGCTGCTGCCCGCTTCTCCGACTTAGAGGAGGTGCCCTGGGCAGAGCCGTGGAGGGCGGAGGGAGGGACTTTCCTCCATGCTGGGCATGTCCTGGGGGCTCTGGTGGAGAGGCCCAGCGTTGCCAGAGACAAGCCCCTATGCCTGCACTTCAGGGCCTCGGTTTCTCTCTCCGTCCAGGAGGGAAAGGGGCTGCCCAGGGCCACCCACCCCAGTTCAAGAGGCGGCAGAGCAGGCCACAGGCAACCCCCCCCCCCCCAAGCCCCCCCCAAGGCGCCGGGGCTCGCCGGGGGGGGGGGGAGGCTTCTTTACCCAGAAGGAGACCCTCCCCTGTGCTTAATGGGGGGGGAGTCCCACCAGCGGAGCCCTGGCAGGGGATGGGCAGAGGCTCTCCCTCCCTTCCCCACCTGGAGCTCTCCCGGGGTCAGCCTGCCTGTCAGAAGCCAAGTGGCTAGTCCTCTGGAAGGCCTGGCCCTCCCTCTGCCTGAGCTGCTCCCCGCCTCCATTGCCAGCCTCCCAGCACAGCGGCTGCTCCTTCCGGATGCCCTGCTTGGCCGGAGATGCCTGGGAGGGCCGAGGAGCAGAAGGAGCGGCTCCCTGACCCCCCCCCCCCCCCCCCCCCCCCCCCGCCCACACACCCTCCCCTAACTGCCCCCTGTAACTCAAGAGCTCCCAGGCATCTGGAGCCCCCCCCGCCCCTCTCTAATTTCCCTGCCATCCGCACAAGCCGGTCTTGATTTACCTCCGAGTCATCTCCTCTTATTTTTAGCCAGGCCGTCTTGCCCTGCCCCGCATGCCTCCTTCACGGCCCCCCTTCCTTAATATGGCGATAAGGAGATGCCCTCCAATGCAGGCCGGGTGGGGGGAGGGGAGAAAACTGGAGGGACCCATTGCAGGGGGGGGGGGGGGGCCCTGGCGGCAAAGGGGGCAGTGGGCGAAGGGGGTGTGTGGGGGGGGTTTGGGGGGGGGGGCTGGCACTCCCCATCGGGTACCCTGCTCCCTACCTTCTCCCCATTGACATATATAGACAGGAGCAAGAGGTGGCCGGCTGGGGACGGTGCCAAATATCTGTGGATAAGACGGCCCTCCAGCCCCAGAGCCCTCCCCCCCCGCCCGAGGGTCTTTTATGCGCTGCCTGGAGCTTTGCTCCTCCGCCTTTGCAGCTCCTCATCCCTCCGTGTGGTGGTCACCCTCCTCCTCGGCCAGTCCCGGGCACCTGCCTGTGTCAGCAAAGAGCCGCCTGCCCAGCCAGGCCCCTGTACCTGACCGGGAGCCACGAAGGCAGAGAAGCCCAGGGCAGCCGCCTCTCCCTTGCTCGTCTTGGGGAAGGACCCCCGGAGCCCCTTCGCGGCAGGATGAAGTGGCTCGGCCTGAGCTTGGCCGCCCTGCTGCTGGCCTTGGCCGGCCCCGTGGCCCGTGGCGAGGAGGGGCTGGATTTCCCCGAGTACGATGGCATCGACCGGGTCATCGACGTCAACATGAAGAACTACAAGGGTGTCCTGAAGAAGTACGAGGTGCTGGCGCTGCTCTACCACGAGCCGGTGGGGGAGGACAAGGCTTCGCAGAGGCAGTTTGAGCTGGAGGAGCTGATTCTGGAGGTAGGGGCCGGGGGCCAGCAGGGGGTGGGATGGGCTCTGCCATGCTGGGGGCCCACATCAGACCGGCCAAGGAGGCAGAGCACAGGGGCTTTGGGCACTGGGGGCCGGGGGAGGGGCGAGGGATGGACTTGTCACCACTTACTGTAGCAGTCTAGCAGTCGGGACGTGGGACGGGGAAGGGGCCACTTTAGCTCCCTCCCTTAAACAGGGGTGTATAGAAGGAGGGGTCTCTAACTGGCCGGGTAGGAGGCGTCATATTGGCCCTTCTCGCGGCCAGGGCAAGGGGCATCAAGGGAGGCGGGGGTCTGCCCCACTCCTAGAGCTGTCCCCTCGCTCTTCCAAAGAGCGCTGGAGACGTGGGACGTCACCAGGCTAAATTTGCCACCTCCAAAACGGGAGCCCCTGGAGCGGGGAGGCAGCCAGGCCCACTTCCTTGGGAATGTTGCGGGGGGGGGGGGGGGGGGGGGGGCGGGGGCGGGCGGGGGCCAGGCCCACTTGGTGGGGGGGGGGGGGGGGGGGGGGGGGCAGTGAGGCCAGGGCAGCCGGGGGGAGGGAAGGAGGTGCTGTGACTGCAAGCAGGAGGGAAGATTGAATGGAGCAGGCTGCATTCAGGGACGCAGTGGGGAGGGCCGAAAGAGGAAGGGAGAAAAAGGGGTGGGAGGAAGAAGGGGGCAGGTGCCCCCCCACCTGACTGGGTCCTCCGGGCTGGGATTAACTGTGGCCCAAAGTAGGACAATGTGTGTGTCAAGATGAGCAAACAAAAGGCAGGACCCTGCTGGGTCAGCCCGGAGACCCTGGCCCAGGAATCCGTCCCATGGAGACGCTGGCTTTCTCCAGAGGCTCTGATGACCCGAACCCTGACTGGACCGGACCCTCGCTTTGTCTCCAGAAGCCCGGGCTTCTGTACCTGGCCGGAGGGTGGGTGGCACCTGCTTCCCCATCCAAGGCCTGACCCAGAGAGGCCTTAGACCCCCTTGGATGGGTGACGGGGCCGAAGCCATTCGGAGGGAAGGCCCGCCTGAGGCGGCCTCCAAGATGAAAAGTGGCTTCAGGGACCCTCCGAGCCTGGAGGAAGCGGACCTCTTCGCGCTCGGCCTCGCAAGGCAGCCCTGGGTCTCCAGCGCTCCGCGGGGAGTCTCTCGCCCCTCAACGCGGCTCAAGAAGAGCAGCCTGGCGGTTGGGTCGGGTGCCCCACCCCCGGAGCTGAATTCCCCCACTTGTATCCCTGGCCGGGTGGGCGCAGCTGTTCTTCCTTGCCAGGATTCAAGGTTAAAGCTCTCGGAGGGAAAGGAGGAGGGAGCCCACCTTCCTCAGCACTTTTGCAAAGTTTGGGAGGAACCAGGTGACCCGAAGCTGTTACTGAACAGTTGCATTTGGCTAAAAACTTCCAGACGTGCAGCACGCAGGAAGCCGGCAGTTGAGGTTGGGAGCCAGGGGGTGTAAAACGTTGAATAAATCAATACATCTGATCGTTACAATCTGGATCCTCTCCCCAGAAATCCTTCAAGAAGTTCCCGGCCATCTTTTCATTCCCTTTCTTCTCTCTCTCTCTCTCTCTGCGCCTGCCCCGCCTGCCTGCCGCCTGGGGCTCTTTCTCCTAGTTAGCAGCCCAAGTCCTGGAAGACAAAGGGGTCGGATTTGGCCTGGTGGACGCAGAGAAGGATGCCGCGGTGGCCAAAAAATTAGGTAAGCCTTGACATCCCTTGGCTGAGCAGAAGGCTCTTCTGGAGAGGCGGGAGGCCCGTTTCCCCCTCGCCCAGGCTGCAAGCGAGTTTCGATTCGGGGCTCCGGGGAAGAAGCAGAGTGGCGGTTGGAGGCCACCAGGGGGCCGTGAAAACTGCCAGGCTCTGGGCCCGTTCAACGCCTGCTTCTCTCTAAGGGACTTGGGGGCTCTCTAGACACGGAGATCGGTGCCCCCCCCCCAAAGCTTACAGTCTAACGACTTCTTGGCCTCAGGGCAGAATTTAGCCCTTCCGAGCCCCGCCTGCAACCAGTTGCCTGAGAAGGACCGGATGGAAAGCAAGTGGCCCTACCCTTGGTAGGCCGATCCATCCTGGCACGGGGGGGGGGGGGGGCACTTTTACGGAACCAGGCTGCCTTTCTCCATGCTCAGAGGTCCAAACGCAACCTCTGGGTGACCTCCCTTTGGCCTCCCCCGCAGGGCTGGTTGAGGAAGACAGCATCTACGTGTACAAGGAGGACGAAGTCATCGAATATGATGGGGAATTTTCAGCCGACACCTTGGTGGAGTTTCTCCTTGACGTAAGTAGTGACCGTCTTCTCAGCCCCCCGCAGCCCCCTCCCCCCGGGGGAAAAGCCCCCCAATGCGGAGGATCCCAAGGGAAAGCTCTTTCCTTCCTTCCAAGTCCTGCAGCTGAGGCAGCTCAGATCTTTCCCCCTTCGGTTCTGCTTCGTTGCACTCCCCTCCTTCGCATGTTATCCAGGCGGGGGGGGGGGGGGGAGCATGGCCAGGGTCAGGCTGAGGGGCGCCCTCCCATTTTGAGCTGTGTCACCCAAGGAAGGGTTCCTGCGGGGGAGGGGTGGCTGGGATTAACTCCTCCCCCTCCCACAGTTTGCTTCTCAACTGCTTGGGGCTCATATAGGGGGCCAGAGTCACCCGCTTCCAGGCCCTGTCCAGGGTGCTGATGGCCACCCACTTCTAAAGCGGGGTTTCTCAGCCTCAACCTCCAAGAGGTGTGGACTTCAAGTCCCAGAATACCCCTGCCAGCCTGCCCTAAAGTCCCCCTCCGCTTAAAAAGGCCAAGGCCTCTGGGCAGAACCACACACCCCTCCCTGTGGGTCAGCCGGGCAGACGTGGCCAGAGAGCAAAGTCAAGGCTGACCTTCACCCTTTCCTGCAGGTCCTGGAAGACCCTGTGGAGTTTATCGATGGAGAAAACGAGCTTGAAGCCTTCGAGAGGATCGAGGATGAACCCAAACTCATCGGCTACTTCAAGAACGAGGACTCTGAGCGTGAGTGGAGGAGGGGAGGAGGGGGTCCCAGGAGAAACGGGGTTCAGGACACCCCGGTAGGTAGGAAAAAACCCAACGTGGAAAGGTGGGTGGGGAAGGGAAATCTCAGGCCACCATGAAATAGGCTGCCAGGCCCAGCACACTGACCCAGGGAAGGAGCTGGCCTGCTGGGGCGACCAGGGGTGACCCTCTGCCTTCTCTTCCAGATTTCAAGGCCTTTGTAGATGCTGCTGAAGAATTCCACCCTTACATCCCTTTCTTTGCAACTTTTGACAGTAAGGTATGTGAGGGAGGGAGGGAGGGAGGGAGGGAGGGGCTATGGTTTGCTTTCCCCCAAATGGCAAAGAGGACGTCCAGCGAGCCTCAGCTATGGCAGCTGTAAGACTTCAACTCCCAATATTCCCCAGCCAACAGCCAGAATTCTGGAGCCAAAGTCCATGCATTTTCAGGGAGCGCGGGGGCAGCTGTGGACACCCCCCCGCCCCGCCCCAGGGAGGTCCGTCCAACTGGTCCCCCTCTGTCTTGGCAGGTGGCAAAGAAACTGTCCCTGAAGCTGAACGAGATTGACTACTACGAGCCTTTTATGGAGAAGCCGGTCACCATCCCGGACAAGCCGAATAGCGAGGAAGAAATAGTCCAGTTCATGGAAGAGCACAAGAGGTGAAGCCTCGCTGCCCCCCTGCCCTCGGGGGAGGGGCCCTCACTGTGCAGCTCACTGTGCCTGGCGGGTTGGGGAGACCTTCCTCGGTTGCCATGGCAGCCGTCTTCCCAGCATCAACAGCAGCATCCCTGCCTTGTTCTTCTGTTCTTCCTCCTCCGGCTGTCATGGAAACTGCACACATTTGGCCCCAACGGTCGGCCGGCCGTCTCCCCTCCCCATGCCTGGTGGTGTTGGACTGGGGCTGCCGGTGATCATCAGCCCAGAAAGGCCCTTCGCCAGTATGAGCCTGGCAAAGACCAAGGAAGATGGCATTTCTGAGCCTGTTGCTCGGTGCCCTCCCCCAATTGGGGAACACGCCTCAAATGGGTCCCCTCCTCCCCCCGTCCCAGAGCAGGGGGTCTCCCAGCACCCACCCAAGCTATTAAGTGGGCCTCTGCCTGTTGGCCCATACAGAAAGAGGGCACCCAGGATGGCAGGACCGCCTAGCCTGACTGGTCCAGCTGCTCAAAAAATTTGGAAGAAAAGGATTCAGGCAACCCTCCCCCTCCTCCCCCCGGAGAGGCTGCTGCCTTGGAAAGGCCTCCTTGGCGCTGACCCGGATGGCGCCTGCCAAGAAGTTCGGCTGCTAGAAGCCAGGAGTGCCAAGGGCCAACCTGTAATTAAGGGGTTTTGTCACGATCCCCTGGGTGCCCTCTGCGGCTAGTAAATAGGGTTGGGGCTGGTTAATATTCGGGTGGGGGAGCCCTAGGAGTCCTTGGGCTGGGAACTCAAAAAACCTCCCGCTGCCCCGTTGCCAAGGAAACAGCCTCTACCTGGGGGGTGGTCTTTACCTGCCTGGCCCGGCCTGGAAAGACCTTGCTGGCCTCGGTCGCCTCACCCTTTGCCCGTCTCTTGCAGGCCAACGCTGAGGAAGCTGCACCCAGACAGCATGTACGAGACTTGGGTACGTTCACAGATCTGAAAGGGGGGGGAGAGCCCCCTCCCCACTTCTAGGCAGCCCCCCCCCCCCCGGGGAAGCAGGAAGGCGCCAGCAGGCTCTCCCCTGGGACAAGGCCCTTCCGGAAAGGGGGCCAGTTGACGTGAGACCAAAGTAGCCAGAAAAGGGACGAAACAAAACATCCCCCAGGAAAACCTCCTGGGCTGCTCATGGAGCTGGGCCTCTCACCAGCGGCCTCTCACCAGGCCACCCACCTCCACGGGGACGGACGGCGGGTGGCTCGCTTGCTTAAAAGCCGCCTCCTTCCCATCCCAGGTGATCCCAGGCGAAAGGAGGGAGGGCGCAGCTCTCTGGGGATGTAAGGAGGGCCGGAAGCAGGCGCTGCAGCTGCAGCGGCTCTTCCCCGCAGCCGAGCTGAGCCGAGCTGGCAGTTTCTGCCTGCCCTGCTGACTTTTGCACGTGAACAGACAGGGAGAGGCAGGGGACGATGGGCTCCAGGCCCAGAGGCTTGGACCAGGAGTCGGGCACAGCGCAGAAGGGGTGGCCAGGAGGGAGGGGGCTCTTTCCCAACGCAAGCGCTGGAGGCAAAGGAGGAGGAGGTCTGGAGGGGGGGGGCAGTTTGCCCAAGCCCCCACCATAGCTTCACTGTACATAGCAGAAAGTGGAACCCCAAACTCAGAGCTCTCCCTCCCCTCCCTCCCCCATATATATCGGCCCCCCACGAATAATCAAGAAAGCACACAAAGCCAGCAACCTGTTGAAAACAGATCCTCTGTGCTGGCCAGGTCATCAATGATAAATACGTTTCCCCCAGTTTACCTTAGTAGGTCCAAAGGCATCACCACGTCCCCTTTGAGCCCCCCAAAGGCACGGCAGGTCTGCCCAGATCTCATGCAAGGGGGCAGCCGGCCGGCTTCTGTGGATGCCCAGCCAAAGCCCGACGCCAACCCCCATGGCGAATTTACAAGCCCTGGGAAGTTTTGGGGGCCCTCAGCCGAGTCCCTTCCTTTTGCCCCAGCCCAGGCCCTGCCCAGGGAAATTGCACTGTGGGGTGGAAGGGCTGCTCCTGGGGAGGGGTCACAGCTACTCCCCCCCCCCCCCCCCCCCCCCCCCCCCCCCCCCGCCGGGGGCCCCCCCGGGGGGGGGGCCGCCCCCCCGGGGGGGGGGCCCCCCCCCCCCCCCCCCCCCCCCCCCGGACTCTTGGCCCTTCCAGGCTGAGCTTCTCCTGGGGAGGAAACCCTGCCCTGGAAACATGCTGGCTCCTTTGCAGGATTCAGGCTTGTTTTTCTCTTGAATGCTGGGGGTGGAGTGGGGAGGTCCTGGGTGGCCAGAGGCTGCTTGCTTCTCCTTCCTGAGTTGGGGACTCTGCCAGTCATAAATAGCCAAGAGAGCCGTAAAGTCGCCCAGCGTCAATCTTCCTTCCTGCCTGTTTAGGAAGACGACATGGATGGCATCCACATCGTGGCCTTCGCAGAGGAGGATGATCCTGGTAAGTCATTCTAGATTGGGCAGGGTGGGTGGGTGGGGGAAACCCTGCACTGAATCCCCAAGTCCTGCTTGTCCCCCATTTCTCCAGCTATAAACCAGGTTTGTGCAAGAGAAGCACCTCCTGCTTCTCGACACGCAGGTCAGATTTATCTTGCACACACAACCAAGAATCCCTGCGGCCTGCACGAGGAGCATCTGAAGACGTTCCTTGGCTGCTGGTTCTAGCCCCACCCTGGGCTGCCCTTGGCCAGAGAAAGGGGAACTGGGAGGAGGGGCTTAATGCCCCTGCCCCCTTCTCTCTCCTCAGATGGTTACGAGTTCCTGGAGATCCTGAAAGAAGTCGCCCAAGACAACACAGACAACCCAGATCTCAGCATCATCTGGATCGATCCCGAGGAATTCCCATTGGTGAAGAGTCTACTGTGTCCTTTAAAACAGAGGGGGGAGGGGGCTTTTAGGAGCCACTCTGGGAACCGCCTGGGCACCTCCCCCCCCCCCCGCTGTCCTTCCCTCCTGAGCTGCAAGATCTCAGGGGGCCTCCTGGGAGCCACACCTGGGCAGGTGTGGAGGCGGGCGTGGGTGGGAGGGCAGGGGCACCGGGGGCCATGAGGGGAGGGGCGTGGGAGAAAAGGGGCCAGCAGGATCCCCGGGGGGGGGGGGGGCTCTCTACCCCATGGTCGGTCCAAAGAGTGCTCCACCCCCATTCCAGCCCCCAACCCAACCCCAGAGGGCTCTCTCTCCTGGGGTGCTTACTCTCCCCACTTTCCTTCCTTCCCAGCTGATCCCTTACTGGGAGAAAACCTTCGACATCGACCTGTCCCGGCCTCAGATTGGTGTGGTCAACGTAACGGATGTGAGTACCGTCAAACACGTGGCTGCCCCTTGGGTGACAGAGGCTGGCCCTATGGGGCACAGCCTGGAGATGGGGGGGGCAGTTGTGGGCTTTCCCAACTGGGGAGTGACGGGGGGCCACCAGGCTGAGCCTCGAAAGGGGGCAGAGATGGTGGGCCAAGAGAGGAGAAGGCCTGGATGCTGGAGGCGGGGGGGGGGGGGGCCTGGCCCGGGGGGCCCCCCCCCCCCCCCCCTGGCCCCTCCGGGGGGCCCCCCCCCCCCCCCCCGCAGGCCGACAGTGTCTGGATGGACATGGATGATGAGGAAGACCTGCCCTCCGCAGAGGAGCTGGAAGACTGGATTGAGGATGTGCTGGAAGGAGAGATAAACACCGAAGATGACGATGACGACGACGACGACGACGATGACGATGACGACGACTAAGGGCTGGCCCTTCCCATTTTTCGTGCAAGGCGGGTCCTGTCTGGGGGGCTCCACCCACCTCATCCTCCGGCACCACCGCTGACCCCAAAGCAGCACATTCGGCCTGCACGAAAACGCCCTGGCCCTAGCAGGAAACATTTTTATATTGATCTTATTTACGTCCAAGGCCCTCACCGCAGCCTGACCAGGTTCCCTCCATGCACAGACCCCCCCCCCCCCCAGGCGCCCCTGTCTGCCCTTGACGAGGGCGGGGGAGAACTGGCTCCTCCATCTGCCCTCCCCTTCCATTGGCCAGATGCCAGGGGAGAATGCCCCCTTTCCTGGGATGGTGCCACCACCAGCCAAGCCCTTTCCTGGTCCTAGAAAGGCTTGTTCTGTAGGTGGCGGCCATCAGCCAAGGCACTCTCAGCCTTGCTTGAGGGCCAGGGGAATTTCCCATCATGCACCTCAGCCTCCAGACTTGGTCCTTGCCTTCTGCTTCAGAGCTTTGGGGGCTCCTTAATGGTCAAGGCTGCCCTTATCAGTCGAGGCCTCCCTGGCTCTGGGGGCTATGGAAAGGGTGGAATCAAGTAGCCGCCATCTTTACAAATCCCCCCTGCCCTCCTCATCCAGGCCTTGGGACGTGATGGCAACATGTCCACTTCAGTCTCCTCTGGCAACAAGGTGCTCACCTTTTCAGGTAGATCAATCCGAATCACTAGAGGGCAGCACTTTAATTTACAAAGATGTTCAGCCATGCGCAAAGAACAGAAACAGAAAAAGGGATCGGCAAACTAGTTAACGTCCCTTCACAACTGTTCCCCAAGTGTCTCTTCTCCTTTTCCACACACACAGGCCCATGAAGGGGATTTCGCTGTCCTAGTTCTCGGGTATCAGGAACTGATCTTTCGCTGAACTCTTTTCCAGGAAGAGAAACTCTGAGTCATTTTGCTGAATTGGTTGAAGAAGCGAAAGATGTGCAAAATCAGATGCAAATTAGCTTCGGAGCTTGCAGGGGGGTGGGGGGAGATTCAGGCTCCGTTTTCCTGCTCTCTTTAGTGAAGGGGGGGAGCCAGCTCAGCAGGCAGTGAGGGGCGTAATGTACAATTTGTATATTTTTCAACACCTTTGTACAGATCAAACCAAAAGTGATTAAAAAAATGGAACAATAAAAGGGACTGGTGAGGTGTTTCCCTCTCCCTCTTGCCCCTCCTTTGGCAAGCAGGTTTTTGGATCAGAAAGTCTGGAATATTCTGCAATTGGGGGTGGGGGTGGATAGAGAAACAGCTCAGTTGCTCTGCCATGGAAACTGTACACCCCAAAAGGGCCAGTGCTCCATATCTCCCACCCTGCCAGGGAGCCACAAGGAGCGGCCAGAGGGGTGCCAACTCCAGGGGACACGGAAAGGCCACGCAGGCCCCATGGCTGGATGCTGATGGCTTCTGGGGCCACCTATTAAAGGCTACTACCCCCCCCCCCCCGCACTGTTTGTGCTTCTTGATGATCTCTATAAATAATATATGCTAATCAAAGAGAATATGCAGCCTTCCGTCCAAGTTTGCATCTCTGGCAATGGGAAAAAATGCTCCGTCCATCCATCATCCCTGCAGCACTTAGGAAACAATTGCTGGCTCTGCCATTGTTCCAGGACTGGCCTCAGTTGCCCCTTGGAGGGATGGGGCTGCACTTGCTCCCATTTCACAGAAGGGAGAAACGAGGGAGAGAGAGAGAGAGAGAGAGAGAGAGAGAGAGAGAGAGAGAGAGAGGGAGGGATTTGCCCTAGGGAAACGGCAGAAGCTCAGGGAGGAGGACCAGCCCATCTGTGGTGCTTCTCGCGGCCTTTAATTAAACCTCCTTGGCCAGGGGCAGTTTACCTCCACACAGCTGCCAACAGTGGACAGACAATTCTGCTTTATATTGCTTAGTGGGAGCAGGGCTGAAAGGGTCTTCCAACAGGCCCAAGGAAAGGGGCCGCGTCTGTCCCTCTGGAGGAACCCTCCCTTGTCCCATGAAGGGGTCAGGGGGAGTGGCAGGCGGAGCTCCTCAGCAATTCCTTCGGCCAATTTGACATTCATATCAGTGCCACCAGCTTTTTCCTCCCCCTCCCCATCAAAAATGCATGAAGAAATGCATTGCCAGCCTATTAATATCAACTCTCGTAAAAACTTTTTATGCATGCGCGCGTTGTGGGTGATGGAGAGACATGGGCAGCAGAGGAATCCATACGGGGTGGGGTGGGGGGGCAAACAGGAAGGGAAGGTGATCGGAGGGGGGAGCGGTGTGGCAAAATTTGCCCTGTGGTGCCTTGAGGTGGGGAGAACCTTCGGGGTGGGAGGGGGTAGAGGTGTAAAGGCAGGGGGCAGAACTGGCAGTAGTTCCTCTGGACTTTGGGGCACAGTCACGTTGGAGGACACCCCCCCCCCCCAATTCTTCCCAAGGAAGTCACCAAAAGAGATGGCAGGACCTCCACCTCCATCACTGCATTTTAAGGATGGGCGAAGGCGGCACAGTGGTTAAGATGCAGGGCTGCCAGCTCCTTCTGCTGCCTGCCGGCTGCCTGCAGTTTGGCAGTTCGAGTCCCACCGGATCAAGGTTGACTCAGCCTTCCATCCTTCCAAGATGGGTAAAATGAGGACCCAAAACTGTTGGGGCTTAGAGGGCTGTCAGCCACCCAAGCAATATCAATAACCACGAATTAATCTCCACAATTAAGTACTGAGTAACCCTCCTATTGTGACCCTGATTTGTCCCCGGTGGCTACCAAACTGAAGGGGCTGAACTCCGAGGCAAAGGGGGGGCTTCCTCGCGGTCTCTCCTTAATTGCCCCCCTGGCCCTGCTGGGGGGCAGCCGGGAGGGCCGGCACTTCCCGGCTTCTTCTGTCGGTCTCTCTCAGCGGACGCTTCCGGTTCCATTCCTGGCAGAGCAGAAAAGGGGCCGGAAGCGGCCGCAGGAGCTTCGGGAAGGGAGCAGCAGCCCCCTCCGGTGGTTTCCCCACAGAGAAAAGGGACTTGGCCCTCTGGTCACACTTCCGCCCCCCCCCGCAGGGTCCCACCCGGAGTTTCCGGGACGGCCCATGACTCTCTGCCCCATATCGGCCGGAATTTGTCGCCGCTCGTTGGGCTGCCTTGGCCAGGTGAGAGAGAAGCCCTGGCCCCTCCGCACCGGGGAGGGTCCAGACTCCCTTGGCTGCCTCTTCTGCCAGAGGGGCTTCAGCTCAGGGCCAGCCAGGGGCCCACGGCTTTGGAGCCTCCGTCACGGCCCCGGGGGGGGGGGGGCCCCCCTGGCTACGCTGCTGCTCTGGACGCCCGGGGAGCCCCGGGCAGAGCAGAGGGCAGGCAGGGCTTTCATCCAGGCGACTCCAGGGAGGAGGGAGCCTCAGAAACGGGCTTCGGACCCTGGGGCGGCCGAAGGTCTCTTCCCCGGCCCGTCCCCGAGGATGAAAAGTCAAGCGGAGCGGCAGGCTGGGAAGCGGAGCATCGCGGGGGCACTCCCGATCTTTCGGGGGCCGCTTTTGGGCACTGCCACTCAAGAGGTACCCCCCTTCCTCAATCCGGACTAGAGAGCCGCCGGCTCTCCTTTCTTTTGCCGTCTCCTCCTCCTCCTCCTCCTCCTCGGGCGTCACGTGTGAACGCGCGCCCTCTTTCCCGCTCGCTCTCGGCTTCCTGCTCTCTCCGAGGCGATCCGGAGCCAGGCACTCGGCACAAAAAGCCACCCAGCCGCCAGCTTCTCCCCCAATAGCTCAGCCTCTCCCGCTGACATCACTCGGCGGGGAGGGGGAGGAGGAGGAGGAGGAGGAAGGGTGGGGTGAGCGGGAGAAGAGCCTGCGAAAGAGCCGAAGCCGCCTGGGCAGCCGCGACGCCCAGCTCGAGGGTCGCCCATCCCGTCCCAGCAGGCGAAGCCAGGACGCCCTTCGCTCGCTAGGCCGGCGGTGCCGGCGGTGCCTGTGTCCTTCTGCCTTTCCAACCTTTCCTTGCCGCGGGTAAGTCCCAGCCCCGGGCAGCGTGCGCCTCTTTCCGGGCTCCGGGAAGGGGGGGAAAGGGTGGGTGGCCTCCGGCTGGCGGCAACGGAACCGACCGCGGGCGCTCTGTACATGGGCAGAGGCGGTTGCGGCGCCACAAGGCAGAGCAGCTGAGCCGGAGACTGGCGCCGAGGCAGGAGCCCCCAGGCGCGGTCCGAGACCCCCGGCCGACCAGCCTCCTCCTCCTCGTGACCGTGACTCAAACGCGGAATCCGCGTGAATCACTGCCGCCGCCGCCGCTTCCTCTTTGGCCCCTCGCCCGCCCGCCCAGCCCTTGCTGGCGAGCTCCGCCGCCGCCGCCGCCCTCCTGGCCCGCGCTGGCTTCTCCCGGCCGGCGGGCCGGCTCGCCTGCTGCCTGTCGGAGTCAGCCGTTCCGGCTAGAGCCCGGCGGAGGAAAGGGGGCGCGGCCACCTGCACGCTGCCCGGCGGCGTCCTTTGGCTCCGCGCCCCAGGGGGAGCCGCCGCCGCCGCTCGCCCGGCCGTCCCTCTGCCCGCCGCGCCTTTCCTGGACGGGTCCGCCTTCCGGGCAGCGCTCAGGCTGCGGGAGCCGCCCAGGGCGCCTGGACTCCGGGAACCGGGACGGCGGAGAAGGGCCCGGCCCGGGGAAAAGCGAGAGAAGGCGAGCGCGGCCTTCTACCGGCGGGGTGCGGACCGAGAGCCCCACCGGCCACGGCCGAGTTTCTTTCACGCCGCCCCACTTACAGGGAAGCGACCACTCAGGGTGCGGAAGGGGGAGGGGGTGAGGGCGGCCGCCCGAGAAGCGCCTCCATTCCCGCCGAGAAGCAGCGGAGAGCGGGGGAATCTGCGGGGGGGAGGCTCCGAGGCGCCCCAGGGCAGCGCTCTTTCCCCAAGACGGGACAGCCCAGGCTGGACGAAGAGGTCCCGGGACCTTCCTTGGCTTCAGATGAAGCAGCAGGAGGGAAGCCCGCCTGCCCACCCGCACCTGACCCCAGGGAGCAGCACCAGGGCGCCCCAAACGGGCTGGGGGTCCAGGCTCTGGTTGGGGGTGGAGTCTTGGTAGTCCTTGCTCCTCCCTCCCACCCTGCAGGATTCTCTCCCCGCCCCAAGCAAGAGGCCTCCTAGAGTCCCTTCTGGCCCTGCCTGTAAAGGAGGACGCTGGACTGAGTGTCCGAGTGTGCGGATCTGGTCCTTGCCCCCTGGTTTGCCCGGGCTGGGCCAGGGCCAGGTACTCCATGGGTCCCGTCCCCCCCCATGAGGCTCCATCCCCTCCTGGAAACAAGTTGGGGAACAGGGCCCTCGACTTTGCCCCCCTTTTGTCCTTAGACTCTTTTACAGTTTGCTTCCCTCCCTGCGGTTCCCTTCCATGCCTCTCAGTGGGCAAGTGGTGTCCCCTGGCTCTTCCACCTGCTCTGGGGGGGCTGGGGGTGTCTTCTGCTGACCCTGCCCTCTTCTCCCCTGCAATTCCCCTCCGTGGAATCTTCCACCGGCCCCTCCAGCCTTCGCAGGGCTGGCATTTCACGGATGGCACTGAACTCCCTAGAGAGTGACCAGGATTTGGTTTCTCCAGCTGGGCCCTCTGGACCGTGCTGCTGACTCTGACCCCCCCCCCCCCCCGCCCCCGTGGGTCCTTTCTGGCTTCTGGTGGACTTGGGGGCTGCTCTCCTCCCTCCCTCCCCTCCTCTCTGGTCAGTGGGGCATTTCTGCTCAGCTCCAGCAGCTGAAGATGTCCTGGCCGGTCTGGCCTCCAGAGCATCTTCTGAGAAAAGCTAGAGGAGGAGGCAGAAAAAGAAGGAGAGTGGCCGGAGGTCACCCAACAGGCTTCCTGGCCCCTCATCATGGATTCGAACTCTAGTCTTCCTCAGGAGCTCCTCCTGGGCGACCTGTTTGCTAAGTGCTTCGCCAGGTCTCTGGAGGGCAGAGCTGCACCGTGGCAGATGGTGCTGCTTCTGCCCTCTCTCCCAGGACTGCTGAATGCCTGGCACGGACCTGGCACATCCGTCTCTATGCCGGACTTAAAAGGTCAACAGAGATTGTTTCACCCCGCATTCTGCAAGGGATGGAGCAGAGCTGGGGGGTGGTCAGTAGACTTCCCTGATGCTTCAGGCACTTCCTGCTGTCCAGCTGGAACTATTCTGAGAGGCCAGCAGGCAAACATGGCTTCCGCTTGCAACCCGCTTCCGCTCTGTGGTCTCGGCTCCGATGCCGTGCGGCGATTCTCTTCGGAGCTTCATGTCTTCCCACGAAACACCTGACTGGTTCCAATCGCTGAGGCTTGTTAGGAAGGAAGCCTTGGGGCTTTCAGGGTAGAACTGCAGATGGGGGCGCCATGCCCGTCCCCGCTGGCACAGCCGCCCTGGGCCAGGGAACCGAGGGCCGTGCCAAAGGGGAAAGGGAGGGAGCCAGAGGGCTGGAGGGCTGGCAGCTCCGGGGCAAAGGGGGTGAGTTGCATCTTCCATCCCAGGCCCTGCTTCCAAGGTGGGCCCTTCCTGGCCCCTCACAAACGGCTCCTGGGGAAGCAAGCAAGGCTGGGCCCAGGGAAACGGCTTCCCTGAGGCAGCCAGGCACAGTCGCCCTCCCCACCTGACAGGCCGAGGGTGGAAAACCAGTCAGCCGTTCTGCCCGCGCCCTGAATTGCGTCCCTCTCTGGGTGTCAGCCTGGAGCAGCCGGTCCCTTCTCATTGTCTCAGGATTTGGGCGCAGGGGAAGGGAACAAACAGGCCATTGTTCAGGCACGGCGTGGCTCCCTGTGCTTTGCCTCTTTGCCTTTGTTTCCTCCTCGGCCTTCGATATTCCTCCCCACCGGTGCCCCCTCCCCCCCACCGGACATTCCATTCCATTTCCGGGGAGGGGGAGGGGGCTGCATCTTTTGGTGGGGCTCTTGTCGAACATGTGAGAAGCAGCTGCACTTTCTTTAAAACCAGGAACATAAAACAAAACAAGAGGAAAGGACCGGTGAGCAGGGGGGTTGGGGAAAGGAAAGGCGAGCCAAACCAGCTCTGAGGCTGGGGTGGGGGGTGGGGGGGGCAAGCCTGATGCAATTCCCTCCCTGCAGAGGAAGCTGAACTGGCCAGTTGGGCCAGGAGGCTGGAGCTGCAGACTCTGGCATTCCACATCTGCATTTGCTGGGGGGGGGAGGACGGTCTTTTCTGTTGGGGAAGCAGGGCATCCCTAAGACCCCACCCCCAGCTGGCCTCAGCAAGTGGGGGGTCCTCCTTTTGGTCGGTGGCTGGCTGGCATTTCCAGAACTTGGAGAACTAAAAAGTTGCTCTATTCCAAATGGGGTCAGAGCCCTTCGTGCTCCTAGCGGATGTTTTCTGTCTGTGGAAATGAGGAATCCCATCCAGGAGGGTCCGTCCCAGAGCCTGAGGAGCAGGGGGCCTTGCCCCCCCTATTTTGAAAGGAAGAACAGAAATGGGATGAAGAACATTCTGCCATCGTCTGCTGGAACTTCGCGTTTCCATGAGGCCTTCCAAACTTTCATCCTTCCCAGTTCGCATGTTCTTGCACTGGTCAGTCGGCTCTGGCATTGGACATTCTTGGTCAAGCCATCGGTTAATTTTTGAGGGCGTAGCAAAAGCTTCATTCTTTCCTCGCAACAGGGCTCCTGTCCGCAGCGATCCTTAGGAAACCTGCCCCTCGCTCAGCTGGCCTTTCTAGAAAAACAGTCAATATTTGGAAATATTTGGCCCTCCAACTGCAGACCTTGGCCAAAGTCCCTCCTCTCTGTCAAAGGGAGGCCACACTTTGAAGAAGCAGCCCGAAGGGAGATGGTTGGGGGTTAAAGGGCAGCTTGTTAAACAGCCATATTGTGTCACAAATTAAATTACTGCTTTGCAGGAAAGGACCAAGGGGGTCAGCCTGCCTATAAGCGAGAGAGGAATCTCTGCTCACAGCCCGATGGCCAAGCACGGAGGGCTTCGGGGAGAACATTTATGTTCAGCATGGCGGGTTGGTTCCACTTCTGCCAATACGCCTTTGGAAGTTTCTGTTGCAGTGAAATGTGAGTTCACAGGTGGCATGGCAACAGGGAGAGGGCAAAATGCTTGCCTGTCTGCGTATACCGTTCAATTAGTTTTCTTCCGGAAACTCACAGGCACGGTTCACCTTGGATATTAAAGGGATAACTCAAACTTGAAGGATACAGCAAGATTCTTCCCACCCCAAGTCCCCTCTCTGCCTTTCAAAGGGTTTTAGAAACACCGCATAGCTAGATATTCTTCTGGGAAGCCAACACTGACCCTTGGCCAATCGTCCCCAGAAGAGAGGAGTTGAGGTGGAGGGAAATGGCTCCTCTGCCACCGGGAAGGGGCCTTTTGGCGCTGAAGAGCCTTGGCTGTCTGCCACGGTGCCTCTGAAGGTGTTAACCAGCCCTGCTCATCAGGGAACCCAGTGGCAGAAATCTCTCCTGTGCAACAGGAATCGGGGCCACACCTGGACCAGGCTTGGATTGCACCTTCATCTGGAGAGCAAACCCTGGCTGGGCGAGGGCCTTGCCGCCCGTGGGGGTCTCCAGGGTTTTGCACTTAATGGGAAAGGGAATAGGTTTAAGGGAGAGAAAGGAAGGGAGGGGGTCAGGGAGAGTTGGAAAGGCACATCTTGCTTAGCAGTTGCCATGGCAATTTCTCTTGCTCCTGAAAACTCAAGCTGGATGGCTTTCATTCATCCCCCCCTCCCAACGCTCTGCTCCCCTCCCCGTTTGCTCCACCAAGTTACAGGCACTCCTAACTGCTGGGCACGCTCTGTCCCTTCTGCTCCTGGGGGTGCGGCTGACAGTTTCCATCCTTGGCTCAAAGCCGCTCTTCTGAGCTGCCAGAGAAGGGCCAGGAGGCCAAGAGGTGGGCGCAGTTGCCCCTGTGCCTGGGTGCAAGGCCTTGGCCCCAGAGCAGGGCGCTATCCTCTTCCCACCTTCCCCGTCCCTGGTCTCCACCTTAGAGCCACCCATATCTGACTCTCATTTCATCGCAGCCTCTTCTGTTCCCTTCTGCATTCACAAAGCCTTT